GGCAGACTTCTGGGTTCTAGGGGCTAGTTCTAGGTGCTGTCTAGAGGGCAGTCACCACCCTGGGCTCCTGGTGCCTCTAGAGTAGCCAGCTCTACTCTGATTCCGTTCAGGTATGATGGCCTTGCATAAGATTCTACTTGGCGCTAAATATAAAACAGAAATGGTGTACAAAACTGTGTGAGGCCCATTTCAATAAATGGTTCTCTTATGGGAGGGCCATCTATATCCTTACAGCCTTTAAAGAGGTTCGCCCTTCCCCCCACCTTTCCAGAATTTGGAATATCCACGAATAGAATCAATTAAAGACACGCATGAAGCAATTAAACACACGCATATCCAATGTCGAAAAAAATTAAACAAATAATCCTCTCAGATAGTTAATGCTTTCAAAACTCCGGTGTGTTTTTCTCCCACATGCCTTTCACAGACCCACCCCTAGCTTTCGCCCTCTGCTACCAGCGAGGTTGGCACACACCTGGCTTGTTCTTCATGAACCATTTTCCCCTCACAAGCAAGAAGGGAAGTGCAGCGCTCTCCTCTCTTTCTCTCTCCCTCTCTCTCTCTGTCTCTCCTTTACCTCTCTGCACTAATCCAAAATTAAGACTGGCATTTGGCTGGTATTCTGGAATGACTGTTAAAAATTTGGCACAGCCATTAAAAAAAATGTCAGCCTCAGTGATTACGTGAGTGACTTCCTGATGTCTGAAAATGAGTTAGGACTTTATTGAACAGTGTGTTCATCTGTATTGGTGAAATAAACTTTACATGACAATGGAAGGATTAATTTTTTTCTAATTCTAAATTCATAAAAGAAATTCACAGATGTGTCAACAATTGGAGCAAATTCATCGTGCGACCCCAAAGTCACCTTCTTTGAGGTGTTCTGAGCAAGTTTCAGGGCAGGCTGTGGAGAACGGGGGCCAATTCTAGAAACCAGCAAGTCTCATTCATTTCCTTCAGTTTGTAAAAACAAGCAACCGACAGGTTTCCTGCCCATGACTGCTTGCCACACTTGCAGATAAGAAAGTTCTCACCAGGAAATCCTTTGCTGAGAGAGATCAGTCCTGCCACTAAGCTAAACTTGCTGTCCTGGAGAACTAACTATTTGATAATGTGGGATCATGAAAATACACCCGAAATCAAATGATAGACACTACATGGCTCAAGCTGCTTGCTACCCCATTGATGCAGGATATTAAATAAGCATTAAAACATATTTAGGAGTTCTTCTGTCTCTCCCTCTCCTTGAGGCAATCAGTTGAGGGAATGCAAGGGAGATGTGGGTTTTTTTGTTTTTTTAAGAAGGACCAAACTGTTTTAAGACAACCCAGGGCAGTGCTAACTATACCATGTACGGAGGGAAGTTACTTCTACACAGATATAAAGAATGTAAAATTTAGGGGTCTGGAGAGATGGCTCAGTAGTCAAAAGGTCTCTCCCAGAGGACCTGAGTTATAGCCCCAGCGCCCACGTCAGGTGACTCACAACAATCTGTAATTCCAGCTCCAAAGGATCCCTCTGGTCTTGCTGGGCATGGTCACTCATGTGCCCATACCCACATGCAGAAAACACATACACATACACATAACTAATCATAATAAAATAAATCTTTTTAAAAAAAAACCTTAAAATTTCAAGATTGCCATCAACAGGATGAATCAAAGTCTAGCAAGCGTGTTGATTTTTACATTGACAAGTTTTACTAAAGAGCTTCAAAGCCAAAATTTGGGAGACACATGCATGGTTATTTTCCACCTAGCAAATAAACAAAATGGGGGTATGGGGAAGGAGGCTAAACCTCTCTCCTTGGTATTCCTCACCATGAGTCAGATTTAGCTGACTTAGGTGCTGGTGGCTTGGGGCGGTGGCGGGGGTGGGGGACACCTCTAAAATAGCCTCAAAATGAAAGCACCATTCTCCATTCACAAGAGAGGAAATGTTTCTAAATCAACTGGGCAGTCATCTTGGCAGCCTGGAAACAGTCCCTGGGCCACTTAGGAGTGCTTCCTCTCCCAGCTCAGCTACCAAGCACACTCCGCCCTTTGCTCCCCCCTCCCCCCCAGCACCAGGCGGTCTGTGTTTCTGCTCAGGCAGCCTGAGAGAATCTGCTCAAAACACCACAGACCTTCAGGATCAAATGCCTCAGCTCAACCTGGAACCCGCTTGCAAGCAGGAAAAGACTTCATTCCGCCTTCCCCAGAGGACCCTTTCTCCATGGGCAGCACTCTGGTCTCAAAGTCTCTAAAAAGACTTGTTCTAGCGGTAGGTACACACATCTGATAGCAGACACACAATTCCACAATTAATGGCTCAAATGTATTCTTTTCAGCCTTCCCCTTGCACAACTCAGAGGTTGCAAAATGCTAAGTAAGCACGAACGCACATCCTGGCTTTCAGGCTCTCCCCTGAACTATTTTCAATAAAAATACAGTTATGAAATCCAGGAGAGCGCAGTTTGGTTGATGTTGTAAAATGACCTTGGTTTGACAGGCATGGGCTCAGGTTTCAACAGATGTTGGGGGAAGGCTCACAGAAGCCAGCATGTTCTCGGAGCATCTGTGATGATATGCAGGGGTTTTTGTGATTGTCCTTGTTGTTTTTGAAAGTGTGGTCATGGTAGTACATGCATATGTGGGGTGGGGGTGGGGTGGGGGTGACACTTCTCAGTTTCTATGACAACCATGTCTCCATTCCTGGGTGACTAGACACCATCTACTTCCTGTGTCTAAATGTTTAAACCAATCAGAAAAGTGTTTATACCGTTAACAACTTCTGGAGCCCAGCTTCTTTAATGAGCTAGTTTAAGGCTCAAATGAAGATGTCTACGGGGGTCTCGCTGTCTTAGAGTGATCCCCTGTCATCATGGGCACTAATTCAGTCTTCTGTGGAAAGACAAACCGCCCTTTTCCTTGGATGTGAATGTGTTCTGCTCCAAACAGACACCACGATCTCTGGCAACAATGTGCATGCGGGCCATGACTGCTAGCTCTTCATTGTCCGTTTTCTCTTTCACTGTCTGAAGACAGATTTAGCTCGAGAAACATGCTAATTCGCAAGGCACTTAAATTATCAAAGTAATGATACAGTTAAGCATCCATCTGCCGGGGTTGCTATTTAAATGCTCAGATGAAAAAGAAATTAGGAAAAATTAATACCAAGTTGAATAACTTTGCATTCCTACAACTGAGGAACAGAAATCATTGAGACTGGATTGTGAAGTCCCCCATCTATCAGTGCCAGCTAGAAGCTGACATCTGCAAGGAAATTTGTCACCAAAATGGCCTACTTTATCTGGATAAAACAACAACAAAAAATTAAACATAAAGACACCCAGAGCGAGCCAGATGCACCCAGATCAAAAAGCAATCTCGCAGAAACCCATGCACTAGAAGGCAGATCAGAAATTACAACGAGGTCTTAAAAGAAGGTTTCGGGTGACTGTTTTCCTAAGTCTCCATCTCACTGGCCAATCAGTGTGAGAGTTAGAGCGGGCTCCAGACATTCGTGCTGTCTTCAGGGCTCTGCACCCTCAGAGCTGCTCAGCCTGGTTAAGGCAGAGCCGGCGATCAATGGAAAAACAGGGAACAAAAGGGAAATACTGATGTCTTCCTCAGCTCGGAAAGCCATTCCCTTTTTCCTCAATGAGCCAGTAGCACCCAGCCTACGACAGCGCCACGGGGGAGCTTCCACCAGCCGAGTCCAGTCCTTTCTGAGCTGGCAGTTTCGTCTTCGCAATCATGTGTCCCGACGCTAGCACAACCCGGTGACGGAAGGCTCCCGGAGCCCAACCAATTGAAACTAATAAATTAAATAAATTAATAACCCCCACGATTAAAAGCTCCCAAGAAAGACCGCGTTCCCCTTCCCCAAATGTCATTCTCAGACTATAAACAAAGCATGAAAAATAATCTTTCAGGTTAGGAATCTGGGTTTTTCTCCTCAAAGCAACGTTTTTCTCCAAAACCAGAAACATTCCTGCTTCCTTCAACGGATACTCTGGTCTGACCATGTCACACCGGGATATACAGCTCCGGTATTTGAAAAAGAGGTTTAAACTACCCATAGATCCGACACTCTGTTTATAATTGATAGCAAAACAGTTACGACAGCGATGTTGTAACTCTGCCCCAGCCAAACTCCACATTTAACACGTTAGTTCCTTGAAAATACAAGTCATGCCTGGGGACCCCTCCAAAGCCGCCTCCCTCCGAAGTCATTAACAGAATTACATCAATTATTCGGTAATTTTTATAAATATCCATTGTCTGCAATTTTTTAAATAAAAATGTAAAACCAGTTATCTACAAATTCCGGGGGGAGGAAGAAACTTTTCTTTCTTTTTCTTTCTTTCTTCTTCTTCTTTTTTTTAATGAACTTACTTCTGAGACAAAAACTAATGAAAATAAGCGACTCGCCATCCCTGGATCCTTCCCATTCTGGGCTGCATGCTATAAATCAATCCGAAACTAGGTGCACAGATGGGGGCGGACACCTTAAGATAAAAAGCCAAGGGTGCCCCCCAAATGCGGGCAGGCTGGGCAGCGAGGCTCGGGGTGACAATGCTAACCCCGGCAGAGGCTCGCTAGGCAGCCAG